TCCTCCACTGAATTATCTAGTTATAAATGCAGTTTATACCATTTACAATGCAGAACCTCATGTGTACAGACAAATACTCACACCCCTTTTAAAACTACTGAAATAGCACCATATATTAATAGAACTCAGAATTACAGAAACTAATGTGTAACAAAAAGGTAAAAAGGAACCCAAAGGAAGACCAATTTTAAGACCTATTGCCATAGTTCAAGGGAATACTGTAGTCCAGTTCCATCCAAAACAACTAATTATGGCTTGATAGGGACCATCCCAAGCTGTGGAAAACTATGGGGAAGCTTTGCTTAGCAGATAGCGCTGTTGAAGAGAATGCACAACTGTAAATATATATTATTGCAAGCAAGTGTATCATTAAAATGGGTAAATATGATCACTTTATCATCTCAGACATCTCCGGCACATCCTTTGTTCAATTATCAACCAGTACGCCGAAGCCTTAAATCAAGACATTGCTTCCCAAGATCCACAGAGATACTCGCAGGAACACCTCAGCAAGCGAGAGTCCAAAAGTGGCAGCCTAAAACCCGGAAGCTCAATCCATGGCTGATATCAGATGAGAGACTCCCTCTTGGACACACAGAAGACTGGGAAATTTGGGAGGCGCTGAACAGGCTGCGCTCTGGCACCATGAGATGCAGAGCTAACCTTAAGAAATGGGGCTACAAGTGGAGTTCATGACATGCAAGTATGGAGAAGAACAAACCACAGACTACCCATTACATACAATGCAACCTGAGCCCTGCCACATGCACAATGGAGGACCTCCTCACAGTGACACCAGAGGCACTCCAAGTGGCCAGCTTCTGGTCAATGGAAATCTAGCATAATGCCAAGCTTTTTAACTTTGCCTGTGTCTTTTAAAATATATCATAACTATACCCTCAATCAGCCTCTGACACAATAAATAAAGTCACTGGGGAAGGGGGGTGAGGTGGAAGTGTCCAGGCAAAGAAACAAGATCATTACAATGGTTGCTCTGGTTATAAGAGTTAATTTAATACTACAATCTGATTGTGTTGATATACGTAAAACACTGCTTCTTAAACTGTGGGTCCAAACACCACATGGAGAACCTTTAGCTCAGTGGTTCTCAACCTAGGGTCCCCAGATGTTTTTGGCCTACAATTCCCAGAAATCCAGTTTACCAGCTGTCAATGTTGGGATCACAAAAAATTGGCAATACTAAAAGGTTTTTGAATGACACCAATTTCAAAGTGCAGTGTTTACAGTGGACTCTGCGGAAAAATGCTTTAGCTGTACTCCACAAAAAAGAAAATCACCCTGTTTAGCGAGCCTTGCAAATAATGGTTTATTATCCATAAATGTTTGCTTTTTATAACCTATTTTGTATACCTATATACTTGGGAGTCTCGAAAAAAAATTCTCAGGTAAAAAAGAGGTCATGCGCGGAAAAGGTTTAAGACGCCCTGATCTGGACTACAAAATTTTACATCAGACGAATACCTCATTTATTAGCACAGTTATTAGAGGTAAGTAGGCTCTCTGAAAGTTGCCAGGAAAACTAGAAAACTGGATCTTCTGACTTTCACAGAACAGTACTGAAGTACATCTATTTCAATTTGGAAAGGTTGTTGATCATAAGGTGTAGGCAGAGCAATGAATCTGCCAGTATGAAGTAAATAAAAGATAAAGTTGGAGACAAATTGGAGGAAGATAATATAAGAGCCCAATGCTCCTTAATTTTATCATCATGTGGCCAGAGAGATGTGTCACACAAGAGAACCACTTGCAGGTTCTCAGTCCCTGATCTCTCTCAACTTGACATAGTTTTTCCATAACCCCCTAATTTTCGATAAAGGGGTAAGGGACAAGAGTTCAAGTAAACTGTTATTTTGACCTTCCCCGCATCGAACTATAAGCTCTAAATATTCAACACACTATGGCTCTGAGTTCAAGACATATTTCAAAACTAACAACAGAAAAAGATGCATATAATCCTAAAGTCATGTGAGTACAGACAGCCCCCAAGTTATGAACAAAATAGGTTGAATATGTTTTTAAGTCGGAACAGGTATATGTTTAAGTGTAACTCCAGCCATAAACACACACACATATACATATATATATATATATGGATAGCACAGAGAAAGGTTAACACCCTTGTGATGTTTGTTTTGCGGTGTGTGCCCCTATTCAGAAGATTTCATCTCACTTTCTGTCCCAATGATAATTGTATTTGGAAGAAAATGACTTCTTGTGGAAACAAAGATTGGCTACTAACCTGAGCCAGCTATAGAGAGAACAAAGCCCCTACTAAAACAGCTCCATTGGCTGCCAATGAGTTTCCGGTCCCAATTCAAAGTGCACATTATCGCCTATAATGCCCAAAACAGCTCAGTTCCTGTCTACCTTTGTGACTGCATCCCTCCATGAACCAGCACAGGCTCTAAGATCTGCCCGGGGAAAACCCTCTTCTCAGTCCACATTAGAAGCATGGTTGGCGGGACAGGAGAGAGGGCTTTTTTGGTGGTGGCCCCACAGCTTTGTAACACCCTCCCCAGGGAGATTAAACAGGCCCCCACACTGTGCTCCTTTCCTAGGGACATCCTCAAGCCTTTGAGAATGTTTAGTTATCCTGCAAGTAGTCGCACATCTTGCACTTTATCCCATACCCTCTCTCCATTACTGCAGCTGGCACTTATTTGATTCCTAATGTTTACAGCTTGGCCGTGTTTACAGCAATTTACTGCCATGGTTAGAGGACCACAGTTTGATTGAGTCTGAGTTGATGTTTTTATATGTGCATGTGTTTTATTTTACTGTGTTTTATATTGTGCTCACACTTTTATGTTTTGTTTTTAGGCACTTTGTGCTGCCTGTAAGCCACCCCAAGTCCCTTTGGGGAGATGGTAGCGGGATATAAGAATAAAGTTGCTGTTGTTGTTATTTTTGGTGATAAAGCTTCAGTGGAGACAACTTTTCCCCATGACAAGAGTGGATATCCCTTCGTATGGATAGATTTCTCTCACTTCCTGTTGTCTCAACCCCAATTGTAACTATGAGTCGTATATAAGTCGGATGTTTCTAACTTGGAGATTGTATATCCTGTAATTCTAAGTCACATCCCATTTTTAGATCTGTTTATATAGGGGGGAAAGTGCTTTTTAGTATTGAAGAAATACAGCGTTACACTCTTACCCAAAGGGACGAGAATGAAAGAATGAATAAATCTTACATATCAGGGTCCCCCCCCCCCTAAAAAAAAATACAGGCAAGACAAATCTGGAGCATCAGGAAATGTTTTTCTCCCTGTTGTTCCATATAAGTGCTATTTGTGCCAGTAAGATAGAACAGTTTGGCACCAACTCTTAACTGATTTGTTATCTTGCTGCTTTCACTATACTCCAAAATGAGTCCCAAAACTCAGCATAGCCCAGGCATGGGCAAATTTGGGCTCTCCTTTTTTCCCCAGCCGCTTAAGTTGAGGGGAAAAGGAGGGCCCAAATTTGCCCATGCCTGGGCTATGCTGAGTTTTGGGCTTAAGTGGCTGAGGGGGGAAAGGAAAGGGCCTGAGGCTGTTAGGAATAGTCGGAGTTGTAGTCCAAAACCCCTGGAGGGCCCAAGTGTGTCCATGCCTGGCATAGCTATCTTTCTTGATCCCTCCAATGTGGTCCTATAGGAAAAGGCGACTTCCCTCCCAAACTACCTTCCGCATAAGACCCTATTGACTCCCTCTACACTACCATATAATCCTGTTTCTGAATTGAGATTATCTGCTTTGAACCAAATTATATATACGAGTTAATACTGCCATATAATCCACTCCAAAGTAGATAATCTGGATTCGGAAACTGGGTTATATGGAAGTAGAGGCGGCCGGAGGCCTCTACTACACAGCTGAATAAAATCCCACATTATCTGCTTTGAACTGGGTTATATGTCAGTGTGGACTCAGGGCCCTTCCATACAGCCCTATATCCCAGAATATCAAGGCAGAAAATCCCACAATATCTGAGTGTAGACACAGTTTAAAGTAGATATCGTGGAATTTTCTGCCTTAATATTCTGGGTTACAGGGCTGTGTGGAAGGGCCCTCAGATAACCCAGTTCAGAAGTAGATATTGTAGGGTTTTCTGCCTTGATATTCTGGGTTACAGGGCTGTGTGGAAGGGCCCTCAGATAACCCAGTTCCAAAGTAGATTTTGTGGGGTTTTCTGCCTTGATATTCTGGGTTATATGGCTGTGTAGAAGGGTCCTGAGTGTTGAACTTCCATCGGTTTCCACAGGCTCAGCAAATACAAATTCACAAACTATTCAACTCACAACCCTCTAAGGATGCCTGCCATGGATGCGGGCGAAACGTCAGGAGAGAATGCTTCTGCAACATGGCCATACAGCCCAGAAAACTCACAGCAACCCAACTATTCAACTGCACAGAAACATATACAGGGTGACTGGGGGGGGGGGGGTATATCCCAGAATATCAAGGCAGAAAATCCCACATTATCCGAGTGTGGACTCAGATAACCCAGTTCAAAGCAGATACTGTGGCATTTCCTGCCTTGATATTCTGGAATACATATAGGTCTGTGTGGAAGGGGGCCGGACAACGCGACAAAAAGTTTCACAAACTCCCCTTCGCCATAAAAAAAGACGAAGCAGATCAAGCGGTGTCAACGCGCATTCATGCTACAGTGTATAGGCGCACCCTTTTCAAAGCCTGTGCTTTGGATTCCCACCCTTTCTCCCCGGATCCAAATCGGATTCTAATAGGGAAAGAATGCGCTGGATGCGTTATCTATTACCGGGCGTCCTTCTTGTTGTTGTTTCCCTACAAGGAAGGCGATGGGAGGGAGGGACGGAAACAACAACAGAGGCGCCTGGATCTTTCCTTCCCTTCCTTCCTTCTTCCCAGCCTTAACTTTCGGGAGCGGCGTTGCGCAATCGCTCTCCTCCCGAGCTGCGCGAGCCACAGAGACGCCCCTGAAAGCGCCCTCCAACTTTCCCCACGGGAAGGGTACCTCTTCCTCGGTCAGGCTGGGCTCCGGCGGAGTGGGCTCCTGCTCGCCTTTCGCGCTGTTCATGGTCTCCTCCTCTCCCTCTCCTCCTTCTCCTGGGCTGGGGCGCTCGCCCTGGCCGCCCGCAGCTCTTCCAGCCGCATACAGGGGCTGCTCCGGGGAGGAAGCGGGGCGGCGAAGGCGGCGAGATAAGAGCTCCGTCTTCCTCTGAGGCGAAGAAGGAATGAGCTGAGGGGAAAGAGAGAGGAGAGGCGAGAGGAGGGCGCGCGCAGCCCCCCACCCCACCCTGTCTCCGCGCGCGCCCGGCTCCGATTGGCGGAGAGGCGGCGCCCTCGACGGCGCGAGAAAGGAGGGCAGGGAAGCGCGAGACCCCCCGCCGCGGCACGTGAGGGGAGGAGGCGGCGCCAAAGCTCAACCGTCGAGGCTTCCACTGCCTTGGCCTGCTGACTACCCTCTCTTGCCCCTGCCAAGCTTGACAGGCGTCTGCACGTCTACACAATAAAGCAGCACTATCTCCAGAAGACGCTTACTTCTTGGGAGGAGAGCAATGTCCAGTCTCGATAAAATAGTAAAGAGTAGAGACATCACACTGGCAACGAAGATCCACCTAGTCAAAGCCATGGTATTCCCTGTAGTAACCTACGGATGTGAGAGCTGGACCTTAGGGAAGGCTGAGCGAAGGAAGATCGATGCTTTTGAACTGTGGTATTGGAGGAAAGTTCTGAGAGTGCCTTGGACTGCGAGAAGATCCAACCAGTCCATCCTCCAGGAAATAAAGCCCGACTGCTCACTGGAGGGAAGATACTAGAGACAAAGTTGAAGTACTTTGGCCACATCATGAGGAGACAGGAAAGCCTAGAGAAGACAATTATGCTGGGGAAAGTGGAAGGCAAAAGGAAGAGGGGCCGACCAAGGGCAAGATGGATGGATGGCATCCTTGAAGTGACTGGACTGACCTTGAAGGAGCTGGGGTGGTGACGGCCGACAGGGAGCTCTGGCGTGGGCTGGTCCATGAGGTCACGAAGAGTCGGAGACGACTGAACGAATGAACAACATACTTAAAATGTTAACTGCCGGTGGCGCAGTGGGTTAAACCCCTGTGCCGGCAGGACTGAAGACCGACAGGTCGCAGGTTCGAATCCGGGGAGAGGCGGATTAGCTCCCTCTATCAGCTCCAGCTCCTCATGCGGGGACATGAGAGAAGCCTCCCACAAGGATGATAAAAACATCAAATCATCCAGGCGTCCCCTGGGCAACGTCCTTGCAGACGGCCAATTCTCTCACACCAGAAGCAACTTGCAGTTTCTCAAACCGCTCCTGACACGACAAAAAGAAAAAAATGCCATGTGCGGGGCTTGATGAATGCAAGACTGGGGTTAAAACTGCTGGAAGAAACATTAACAACCTTAGATATGCAGATGATACCTCTTTCATGGCTGAAAGCGAGGAGGAGCCGAGGAGCCTTCTAATCAAGGTGAAAGAAGAAAGCGCAAAAGCTGGGTTGCAGCTAAACATAAAAAAACCAAGATTATGGCAACAAGAATGATTGACAACTGGGAAATAACTGAGGACCTGGTTGTTTGAGCAGGCATTTGAATAGGCAGTGTAACGAACATAGGAATATGGAACAAATGAATGATGAGACTGGATCTTGATTTTTACTATGAGATGCTAATGAGATGTTTTATTTATTTATATTGACTGTTTATTATGCTACTGTTTTTAATTGTTTTTAACTGATTTATGATGGTTAGTAGGGAGAGAGGGGAAAGCTTTCATACCTAGTGAGGGCTCCAGGGGTCCTGGGGCCATCCCTTTGCACAGCTCTGGCAAAGGCAGGACATCCTTCCTTCATGGCGGTCACTGTAGGATCCTGTTTTCTCTTCCTGGGGCCTCTCCTGTGATGGCCTTCCCCAGCCTCAAGGGGGGGCTGTCTCTTCTGGGTGGCTGGAGGTCTGGTCCTGCCCTTCTGGGATCCTCCTGTGCCATCTGAGTTCCAGCTGCCACATGAGAAAACCCGCAGAGCTCCCGCAGACTCATCACCCAGGTAGCTGTCCACAGTGGCAGGAGTGGATTATGGATCCTGGATCCAGTCTGATCTGATGTCCCTTGTCAGGTGGTCTTCTGGTTCATTTCAGCTGTGCCGGGAGGTCCCCTGGACCCTACAGTGCCCTTCTCATATTTAAAGGCAGTTAGAGGGGCCATTAAAAGATTCACACACATGCATTTGGGGAGGGGAGGGAGATGGACTAGGAAAGAAGAAAAGGGTTGTTGAGGGACTGTGCAGAGTGAAAGAGAGAGAGAGAGCCTTAGCTATAGGGGCAAGACAAGATTTTGACTGTCTATGTTATAAGGAGCAATGGGGATGCTGGGGGCCCCCTTGGCAGGGGGAAGAGAGGGGAAGAGAAAGTTGAGGCACTTTTAGCCTAGGAAAACATGAAGCGGAGGGAAAAGATATGAACGCATGGAAATGTTTTGTGGAACATGATTTTCAGAGAGGGAGAAAGGATAACCCAGGGGGCGTAAATCTTTCCCAGACACCCCAAGAGATGTGTTTGGTGGAGGAAAAACAGAAAATCTAGGATGAAATTGTCCCTGAATTAAAGCCTTCACTTGGGTGGTGGGCAGTGTGGTGTTTGTGGAGGACATTGGCAGGGCTCTTTGGACATGTTTATGGCAATCGCTATAACCTGCAATGTCAGTGAGGGAGGGTCTTTGGTGTTCGCTTCATAGGTGGGGGTTATAGCTGTTGATGGAGGCGGGAGCTTGTCTGTGAAAGTGGGCACCCCAGCCTCATACACACATACAGATTTTCACTTTTATTATGTGTATTGATAATGATTGATAGATAGATATAGATATATATTGATATATATTGATATGAGACTATGGTCTTTACAACTCAATTATATGCGATACATGGACCGTCCAAGCTTGTAGCCAAGGGGGCAGTTTAGGGATTCAACACCCTCCCTGAAATTTGTCAGATCAAAAATAAAACAAAACACTGGTTTGCTCATGAATTTTTACTGGTTAACTAAATCCCCATGCCAAGCCTATGAGAAGCAACAATTAGAGTTCCTCCAGAGCTACAATCACTCTCTCAACCAAATTTAGATGATTCACACTATCATTACCTGCCTTTCTACCAATCTACATTGCAATAGCAGTAATAGCTGACATAGTGGAAGCTGCCAAAATGTGGTAGCCAGCAGGCAAAGCCTAAGGCACGGGACAGGGAGGAGGATTTGACCTGGATTGCAGGTAAAAACTGTGGAAACTGAAGAGTACCATCAGAAAAACTTGTGCTTGGCTGAAAATGTCTTGCTAATTCACGGTAAAATATCTTGATGTAAACCGTCATCACGACAAAGGAAATAAGAAGAAAGCAGAAAAAAACCAGAAAAAAACTTCTGCCAATTTTGGAAACTATTGTCCTTTGTGACCGACAAGAGGGAGAAAGATTCAGGACCTATTACCTGTGAAGTCCCCAGTGGTGCAGTGAGTTAAACCCTTGTGCTGGCAGGACTGAAGATCAACAGGTTGCAGGTTCAAATCTGGGGAGAGCACTCATGAGCTCCCTCCGTCAGCTCCAGCTCCCCATGCGGGATCATGACAGAAGCCTCCCACAAGGATGATAAAAACATCAGAACATCCAGGCGTCTTCTGGGCAATGTCCTTACAGACAGCCAATTCTCTCACACCAGAAGCAACTTGCAGTTTCTCAGGTCGCTCCTGACACGAAAAAGAAGAAGAAGAAAACCATGAAGAACCTTTGCATAATGATGGTAATTTCAGAGCCTTTTTAAAATCTACCAGATCAGTTGATACTGATCTGAAAAGTCATGTGGGCAGGGTGGGAGGGGGGAATTTCAACTCCTCCCGAAAACTATCTGCAAACATCACTCTTGACTTCTAGAATATTGCCTCAGCTTTGCTTCCAAAAAATCCTGCAAATCTCTTGGGAAGATGGATGTACAAACATCAGTATTCTGGAAGAAGCAAAGACCACCAGCATTGAAGCCATGATCCTTCGCCATCAAATTTGCTGGACCGACCACATTGTCTGAATCCCCGATCACCGTCTCTCAAGGCTGCTACTTTACTCTTAGTTTCAGAACATAAACGGAATGTCAGGTAGATAGCAAAAGAGATTTGAAGATGGGCTTAAAGATGACCTTTAAAATTTGGTATAAACACTGAATCTGGGAAGCTTTGGCTCTTGAACGTCTAACTGGAGGTCAGCTGTAACTAACAGTGCTGTGGAATTTGAAGGGGCACGAATGGAGGGCGAAAGGAAGAAACGTGTCAAAAGGAAGGCATGTCAAGCCAACCCCTGTTGGGACTGCCTTCTATCTGGAAATGTATGTCCTCAATTTGAAAGACCATGCGAAACCAGTCACTTCCTTCCTTCCCAGTCTAAACTTTTGGGAAATTCAAGTGAGTTTATTGCAGAGGAGAAGCTATATATGGAGAGAGATCCCTAAAACCATTCCTGGGGTGCATCTGGCAGAATTCATGCACTTTAACACCACTCTAACTGCCAGTGTACAATTGTATGGAATCTTGGGAACTGTAGTTCTACAAGGAGCTTTAGCCTTCTATGCTGGAGAGTACTGCTGCCTCACAAACTACACTTTCCAGGATTCAATAGCATTGAGCCATGAAAACTTAAATTGGTATCAAACTGCATTAATTCTACAGTGTAGATTCAGCGCTAGTTGCATATCTTTTTCCCATGACAAGATTTCCTCTTTCATTACTGTTTTGCCACCCCCAGTTCTATTTAAACGTTTAAGCTTGGTAACCTTATCTTAATAGTTTTCAGGAGGAAAGAAATATCACACCATTAAGACCTGCCCAGATTGTAACCCTAGCACCTGGTTGAACTTACTGAGCAAAGTAATGAGATCTTGGGAAGAGTTCAGTAACCCATGTTGTGCCTGAATAAGATTCATTTCTCAATATCTCTAGGGCATGGGAAGGCCCCTGCCAGATACCCTTGACATTTGCTGCTGATCAGATAAGAGAAGCCTGGATTCGGAATAAAACAGTTTCATATACCCTTTAGTGCAGTAGTGTGGTCCCTGACCTGGTGCCAGTTCTTGAGTCACTGACTGCCACTCTATGGTGAGTTTTCAGGAAATCAAAAAAGCCAGACAGACAGACACGAAAAAGAATTGTGGATTCCCCACATCACATTGCTTAAAAGATATACTACTTTAGTGCACTTGGAAATATCTGGACCTTCCTCTTTCTCTTGGCACCAGGGAGCATACTATGGAATGGTCAAAAGGCACAGCTACACTGACTACTTAAAGCAGTGTTTCTCAGCCTGTGGGTCAGGTCTCCTGGAGGGGGGGCGCACAAGAGGGTGTCAGAGGGGTTGCCAAAA